CGCGCGCGCACACACACACACACACACTATGATTAGAGAATGAGTTAATGAACAAGGAACTAAGAGTAGAAGAGAAATATACTGAAAAATTAAAAACAAAACAAAACAGTAAGAATGGAAAAATCCAGACATCTCCAGAGAGAGAGAGAGAGAGAGAGAGAGAGAGAGAGACAGAGAGACAGAGACAGAGAGACAGAGAGACAGAGAGAGAGACAGAGAGATGCAGAGGGAGCCTGAGGGGAAAGGACGCCTCCCCCTCACACTCTCCCTCCCTCCCAGCCTCCCCATCACACTATCAGCCACATCAGCTCCACCTGCCTCCAGGTGCAGGGCCTGTGACCTGTTTCAGCTGCTTCCTCAATTAGATTGTCAACAGCTTGTTGGCCCAAGTGATTCCCCAAGGATACAAAGGCACTAGATGATGTTCCTTCTGGAGACTCTGCAAAGGCCACAGGCCAGGCAAGGACTTCCTCCTCTTTTTATTTCTTTAACAGCTATATTGAGTATAATTGATATCACACAAGTATGTTTGATGTGAAATTTTATGTTCTGGTCCCAGAATCACCTGGCATCTCTGAAGCCAAAGCCACAGGTAAGGAACAGACAACAAAAGGCGTACTTCTTCATACTCTTAATTTGTCACAGTAACGTGACAGCAGATGACAGTGCTCTCACTGAGACTGACCCTGTTGGAACCATGAGCTCTCCCTTGTGGTGTCTCAGGGAGGGGGTAGGATGATAGGATTTGCAAGGGGAAGCGGCAAAGGCCTCAGGATCATGGAGACAGACAGAGATCACCTTACCCTGTGTCCCCGTAGGGCAAAGGGAATGGAAGTAGGTTTTGGCCTCACTTCTCCTTTGTCTGTGTCACTGTGGTATAACGGAATTGGTCATTAATTTTATTTCCTGTACTACAATAATACTCAGCCTCGTCCTCAGACTGGAGGTTGGAGATGGTTAAGTAGCGGTCAGCCCCAGAGCTGGAGCCCGAGAAGCGATCAGGGATCCCGTCCCCCTTGCTGTGGCTTCCGTCACTGTTAACCTTCATCACATACCGAGGGGCCTTCCCTGGTGCCTGTTGATACCAGTGAATGTTGAAGTTGCTGTGCGCACTGCTCAGGGTGCAGGTGAGCTTGGCCGAGGCTCCCAGGGAGGCCGACGCAGATGGGGGCTGTGTCAGCACAACCCAAGCACAGGAGCCTGGAAAAGGAAAAATACAAAAATGATGCCGAATGCACCAGATTTGGGACACAAGTCTCTCAAGTATGAACTTGGAGGGAAATATTGGAAGGGGGGACCCCCTGAGTGCCCTGGGATACTCTGACCTGTGGAGAAAACCAGGGGCAGGAGGTAGAAGGGAAGCCAGTCCATCATGGGGAGAATCTTCCAGGAGCTCTTCCCAGAGACTGCCCAGCTGGGACTGGCCTCTCCCAGCTCCTGTCTTATCCTCTCTTCTTGCAGCTCAGGAAGGGAGGAGTTAGAATGCAAATCTGTTCTCCCTTCCCCAGTGTGTGTGTCTGAGCTCTTGCCTGAGCCCTGAGCCTAAGGGCCTCATGCTGGTAATTTCCTGAGGTCAGAAGCAGGGCCAGGTGTGGGTTTCAGAGTGGAGAGTTGATTGTACCCAANATTGTGGTTTGTTCTCACTTGTCATCACTACGACACTGTGGGGAAAAGCACCCCCCCCCACCCCGCCCCTGATTTGCAACCACAATAATAACCAGCCTCGTGGCTGGACCGGAGGGGAGAGAATGTCAGGGAGGCTGAGTTGCCAGAGGTGTTGTCTGGAGTCTGTGATGATGGATTCTTGCCCTCTGTCTTCATCCATGTGGGGCTGTGCCCAGGAGCTGCTGGCACAGGCGACAGGATTATAACCCCCAATGTCACATATGCTCGAGAACAGGAGATGGTGACCATCACCAGGTGCCCCAGATGCCTAGGGAGGTGAGTCAGGACAGACTGCGTCCCCAATCCTGATGAGAAGGTGAGGTGAGGACAGAGGTGAGTGTAGGGCCAAGACTCCACGGAGCCTGCGAGGGAGGGAGAGCAGGTCTCCTGTGCTGCAGAGGTGGTGCCTTCCTGTGGTGACTCTCACCTGAGCTGTGAGTAGCAGGTGAGCAGGAGTGAAGCCATCTAGTGTGGTCTTCAGAGGACCAGAAGCACAAGCTCCCCTGAGACCTGACAGACATATAGGTTCCCAGGCCCATCTGACCTGCTGCAGTGGCAGCTGCATCTTAGGAGACCCCAGGAGACTGTGTGCTCACAGAGGCGCCAGAAGCTCTGGTCTACGTCACCATGGACACTCTCACTTCCTCCTGCTTGTGTCCCCAAGTCCGTCTAGGCCACCTAGGTGTTGGTGATGACCTGTTCTGCCCTCGTCAGACTGAGCTTGATTCAGATGCTGGATCCTGTGATCATGTGGAAAACATGTTTTAGGAAGACTCCTTTTCTCCAGCCACAGGGGTGGTATGTTGGAGGCAAGGTCAGATTACTTTTCAATTTTGGCCTTTTTTTAATGTCTCATTTTCAAGTGTTTCTATTACTATGTCATCAAGTTCATTAATCTTTTCTTTGGTAACATCTATTCTGCTGTCATCTCATCCAGTGTATTTTTTGATCTCAGATATTATAGCTTTTATACCTAGAGGTTCAGTTTGAATTTTGTTGTGTCCTCTTTGTCTGGCTTACCGTTTTCAGTTATTCCTGTAGCCCAGGGGTCGGCAAACTGCAGCGGGCGAGCCTCATGCGGCTCTTTGGATGCGGCTCACGAGCTGCAGTTTGCCGACCCCTGCTCTAGTCTCATGAACAATTAAATGGAGTTATATTCATCGTTTTGTATCAAGTTTACAAATATATCATCTGAGCAATTTCTGGTCCATTTTGAAAAAAATGGCTTTTGTATTTATAATGACTTATATTTTCCTGATTTTTTGCAGGATATTTTCTTTGGGATGACAGTTATTGTGACTTTTTCCCTGTGGGGTACAGAATACTTGTACTTCCTTCTATGTTTTTGATTTTTATTTTTAAATTTAGTAAATTCCTTGGACACAGTTCACTTCTTTCTCAACTTTCCTTTAATTTACACTCTTTGGTGGCACCGGCAGCCTTTAGTCTGGGGCTAATTTTCCCATCACTGAGGCAAAGCTCTCTGACCAGTCATGTGATGCCTTAGTAGGAGCATTTCCTCTCTGACAGAGCACAAGCTCTGTGTGATTGTGAGTGTGGCTCTGGCCAGTTCTTTCCTCACCTCACTGGGTTTCCTCCCCTATATGCTCGTCAGTCCTCTCAGGAACGTTTGTCAACTCCAGAGATTACCCTGGGAATCTCTTTCCTCTTCAATATTCTCTGCAGACTTATATTTTCTCTTTGGGACTCCCTGGAGACACCCTGACATGGAGAACCTCACACAGTAGGGTTTGGGGTGATCTCTCTGGAAGGGTGCAAGGAGGCAAGAATGTGCAGACCTGCAATGTGGTGATAATTGAAGACTCAGTTGGAGGCCCTATGAGGACACATTGAACTGAGGCGGGACTTGGGATCTTGGCATCAGACATTCATTGGGCCTGAGTCACCCTGAGAGAGAAGGCATAACCTTGGGGGAGGAAAATCTCTGCACCAATGGAACTTCCCAGTGAGGGCACCACTGTGAGCTGCAAGGGTGTCCCAGGTGTTGTGATGTGTGTGTGTGTGCGGGGGGGTGTCAGACCTGATTAGGGGCCTAAGTGGACACCACAGTCACGACAGCACCAGTGTGCTCCATGCAGAATCCCAGGGTTCCATGGAACCCAGGGCTGCTGAACTGGGAGGTTCCGGTGCTTACTCTAGAATGTGTTGCCAAGGTGTGGCCCAGTCACCATTACATAGAAATCCAAGGACCATTACCACTGAACACGTGATCCCATCAGTTTATCCTTCAACTCAGGCCCTCATTTGACAACTCCCTGAGTAACAGAAACACCGAGAATGCCTTGTTCCGCGAGCCCTGAATCCACTGCTGATGCACCTTGTGCAGAGCTCCCTGAGGACTGGGAGAAGGGGGCAGCCTGAGATCTCATCTGGGACCTGGGCAGACCTGCTCGTGGCTTTGTCACCAGTCCTTCTGGGGCTTGAGGAATGTGACACAGACAGGGAAATGGGTTTGTGTCTCACTTCCCCATCTGCCTGTGTCACTGTGAGCATTACCACTGTCCCACACCTGACAGTAATAGTCAGCCTCGTCCTCAGCCTGGGCCCCACTGATGGTCAGGGTGGCCGTGTTCCCCGAGTTGGAGCCAGAGAATCGGTCAGGGATCCCTGAGGGCCGGTTGCTGCTACCATAGATGACCAGCACAGGGGCCTGGCCTGGCTTCTGCTGGTACCAGTAAGCATTTTTACTTCCAATGTTGTTTCCTCCGCAGGTGATCCTGGCCGTCTGTCCTGGGGTCACTGACACGGAGGAAGGCTGAGTCAGCTCATAGGAGGCCGCAGAGCCTGCAAGAGAGATTAGGATAGGAGGGCTTGAGGATGAAGGTTTCTTCCAGGAGACGCCTGTCTGCCTGCCTCACTGAGCTGCAGAGTGGAGGCCCCAGGGCACCAACTCCCCTTATTTGAGCCTCAGTGGCACATTGGACTGGGCTAGAGGATGGAGCCTTTGAACGAATGAGAGCCCCCCTCCTTCTCTGGCAGGCGCAGCCCCTCAGGGGTCACACAGAGCCAGTGAGCACAGAAGNGCAGCAGGGTCATGAACATCCTGCCCCCACTGGCAGTGCCCTGCTGAGTCAGAGTCAGGTCAGGTTGTCCAGAGCCCTGGACATTAGGTGGGTGTGAGCCTGGATGCAGCACCTGTGCAGTGAGCAATGAGGCCGAGGAGGAGAGGGGTCCAGGCCATGGTGGAGGCACCCCGATTATGCTCCCTGTGGCCTGAGGCTGAGCAGGTTTCCTCCCAGGCCTCTCTTATCCCCTTGATGGAGAGAGCTGCTAGGTATGCAAATCAGCCTGGGTAGGGGTGCTGCCTGAGCAATTGTATGGTTTCAGAGTAGGGCTCAGTCTCAAAAGGCAGAGGAGGGGGAGGGGTGGTTCCTGCAGACTCCACCTTCAGCCCCGGGAATTCTGGTTCATTCTCTGGTTCCATAGTCCGGGACATCTCCATCACCATCACTGTCTTCACCTGGATCCTGGACTGGCCTGGTCACAGTACTGCTCAGAGTTGAAGTCTGTTTGCATTTTCTGAACCCATTATAGATTGTTAACACTAGCGGTGACCATCTGAGCCTTAGGTCTATGCAGTATTCTACCCAGATCACAGTTTGTGAGCATCAGAGCCTGAAAAAATTCCTACCTTGTTAATAGCACATCGAATTTTTAATGAGCTAGTGACGTGCTGTAACATTCTATTCTTGCTGAGACCTCCTGGATCAGGTCATAAATGCTGTTCCTCAGTATCCTCAGTTTGCACTCAGTGCAAGGGACAGATTCTATGCTTGAGAAAGGTTTCAGGGTGACAGAGTCTTAGCATGAGTGGGGTGGGCTGGAGAGGAATGAAGTACCTGGACCTTTGCCTGAGAAATAGGCAAAGTCTGCAAGAACCAGATCTGAGACATGGAATTAGAGTTTCACATCAGTGTCAAAGGTGACGGTGTAGGAAACCTACACGTTTTCCTTTGGGTCTCAGGTCTTGCTTACTAACCCTCTCTGCATGTTAGAGCTCCTGGGGCCCAGGCCCCACCCTATCTTCAGGAGGCTTCTTGGTGGTCTCTGTTGCCACCTTGTGGCCACTCCACACTGCCTGTGGAAGCACAGGGGGTCCTGTGTCTCTGAGTGGATTCAGATCTCAGTGCTCAGGTCCTGATTCTGACTCACTGACTTTGACCCAGGGGAGGAATTACTCTTTTCTCCATGACCCTACCTGTCTCACACCAGGCATGAGGGGCTCAGATCACCCATGAAAACTTGAACAGGATTGTTCAGAGGGAGAGATGACCTGTCCCACATGAAACAGCATTGCACATATGCCTGGGTGGTGGGTGGTCATGTGTGGGGTTTGGGGGCTTGGAACCAGGGAACAGAGACCTCTGGTATCATTTTATTTATTTATTTAAAAAAAATTTTTTTTTATTAAGAGTTTTGTTTTTAATTGGGGAATTGGGGGAGGGGAACAGCGCTGGGGATTCAGGGTAAGGGGAACAGACAAGTTGCTGTTGTTTTGTTCTTTAGTCTAGTTGTGGAGGACGTTGCTTAACTGGCCCAAGTTGGCACCATCATTGCGCAATTGGCATTTTCAACACTTCCATTGTTTTCAAATTTTTTATGAATGTTTTAAGTAAATTTGTTATAATCACCAGAAACCCAGCCCTGACAGAGACACCAGCTTTAGGCTCCATGATCACTGTGAGGTACCCCAGGGTCATGGTCTTTGCACAGGTTGTGAGC